CATAAACAGGGTGAGAAGATGATTGCATTTGAACTGCTGGCTCAAGCAGTAGAGATGTAGGTCCCACAGAGAGATCATTTACCATAAAGGCAGAGCAGGTGACAAAGCTATGTGCTTTTGTTTATGCTGGCAGAATACTTTTACTTACAAGGACCTTCCTAGAAAGCAAGCCATTTTTGGATGGATAATTGTGGAGGGAACAATTGCAGGGGCACAAGAGAAAAGAGCTATCAACACAGTGGAACCAAAAGCACATCATCATGGAACAGCAGCTGATAGAGAGCACAGCAAAGACTGAAGGCCATCTCAGAGTAGAAAGAAAAATGGATAAAAGAAGCTAAGAGCAAAACATGTTTCACCATACTTCCCGAAGGATACAAATCTTTGGAAGCACTGCTATGGATGTCTTCAAACGTTTCCACTCATCTACATCACAAGATGAAGACGTGAAAGATCAGTAAACATCATAGAGGAGGAGAACATTGAGTATGTTGCTTGTGGGTCCTACAGTGAGTCAGGGCACTGCTCAGACCAGTGACTCTGTTTGTGATGGTCTTGTTGAAGCCCAAAGTCTCCTTTCAAGCCTGCCACAAAGCATGAAGGTTAAAATGGATAAAATGGATAAAATTCTGCCCCAGTTTCTGTACATAAAGACTTTCTCAGGAGCAGTTTAGAGATGACAGAGAAAGGAGATTCCCCCCCACTCCACATCCATACTTCAAACAACATTAAGTAAAGAGGCAATAATTTGTTATTTGTAGTTCTTGGGTGTTACATCCCACATGACCTATCATGCCCTTCTCTTTCCTACTGCCACCAGGAGGGACAAACAAAAACCCAGGAACAGGAAGCTCAAGAACTCAAGAAATAGAACACATTGTTTTCTGCATAATTTTCAGTTTCTCTCACAACAGAGAAATGAAGGATTGCTAACACTAGTTCATAATTAAATCAGCAGCAGGAGGCACATCACAACAGGAAGTTACCACATGCCAGGACAGCCCACCAAGGTGATTTTAACCTATTGACCCACTTTGTGGGTGATTTCATTAAAGTAGGGGCTTTTTCAGTCCTCATCAGAGACAAAATAGCTACAGGATATGTCTGCAGGATGATAGGAATTGCTCATCACTCCACTAAACAGTGCCAGAAGCTCTATGTGTCTGAAACTTCCAACACTACCAGGTGTGATTTTAGAAACAACCCACCAGATCCTCAGCCAGGACCACAGTAAACAGGACAGAGTCTTTCAGGAAGAAGAAATCTCTGCTTAAGGAGATTTATCTTAAAAAATATAAATCTCCTGGCATGAGATCAAGGTATCATACAATATAATGGCAAATACATACTTGATTCATCTTTTCAGAGTAAAACAAGGAATGAAGATTATGTATGATTACTCTTCCAATGCCATTAATTTGCTTGAATTTATCCATTTAATGCACTGTTGAGGAACATTATAACTCCCTTTTCCCTGCCAGTAAATTGTTGCTGCATTGTGATCAGAATCACAAAGAAACACATATTTACAGTGACAGAATTGCCGGTTTTCAAGTCTCAAACCATAAATGCTACTTTGATTAGTATTCAAAACGGTTAATTTTTTGCACACTTTGTAGGTGTAAATATTAAAAATTGCTGAGCCTCCAAAACATTTTAAGCAGTTACTTGAAATCTTCAAGGAGGCAGCAAAAATCCTAGGACTGACTCCTTGTGCTACCAGATATTGTTTTGCGTAAAATTTTCAGGGTTGGTTGGAATCTAGCCCCTCTGAGAAGAGAGAAGTGAAACACCAGGAACTTATAAATATGGTTAAATGACCCAGCTGCTACTGCTGACACAGTTACATTCGCATAAAAGACATCTCTGCTGCATAGTTTGTTCTGACAAATTTGTAGAAATAAGCTCTATCAGTATAATCACTTTTACTCATGCTTCTGCAATCCACTTCAGAGTGGCATCAATTTACTGCTATTGCTTTCTAAGCTAAACAGTCAACACAAAACTTCTCTGCAGGTCAATCACACATAGTGACTCCAGTGACTCCAGTAAAGGAGGGAAACTAGCCCAGAATTTTCCAAAAGCATTAACTAAAACACTGCACTTCAATGTCACCTTTTAGCAGAGCGTTGTAAGCATTTAACAGAGAGAACCTCCCACAGACTGTGAGGTAGGTTAGCAGTGCAAATTATTTTGCATGCCAAGAATAGGCACAGAAACATTTCCAGGATATTAGTTTAAATGGCCACATAAAATACATTAAAAAAGCCCTAGACATTTTCTGTCCCTGTTCTGGTTCTGTGGTGTGATCAAGCACGTGATCCTTCAGATTCGTTTTGACAGCCAAGTGGAAGATGAAGTAGGAGTTCAGAAAACCACAGAACAATGCAGCAAATCTCAGCTAATTTGAGAAAATATAGGCATGATAATAAAAAGGGAGAAAGGTTCAGCGGTCACCTAGCACCACATACTTAGGGGTAGCTTTTGCCAGAAAGCAAAACAGTTGATGTTAAACACATATTTGCAACAAAATTGTTTAACTTGACATGCTGTGTCACCAGCATCAAAACTGATTTCTTGCCAACACATTCTTCCATTTCACTGTATGCAACCAATACAAACAAGGTAAGCTTCCTGTTACCAAAAAGGACTTTCTGTATTGTGAAAAAATGATGCTTTGGCATTGAGAAGAAGACAACACAGAGGTATATATAGAGTCCAAAGGACACAAACAGTGAAAGAAATACTTGAATTGTCACTGAGATCCAGCTTCAGGCAAAAATAGGAATACTCCTTTTCTGTACATGGATAAAGATAGGAATCTTCTTCCCCAGAGAGACATAAAGAGGTGACATGCTAGCACTCTCAAGGAAGTACCACAACTGTGGACAGGCAGCTGAGCTGCTGGCTGGATGTTGGTGGCTGCCTGTGTTGGCTGTGCATGGGGTACAAAGCTGCCATATGCCGCAGGGCCCAGCCAGGGTCTCAAGCCGCTTCTCCACAGGAGGATCTCCATCTGTACCCCCACTGCATGTGCCTCCACGCTGAGGAATTCCAAAAGGGCTGCCAAGATCCGTAAAAAGTAATATCTCTGCTCTCTTGTCAGCGTTGGCAAAAACAAGGTCTGCATTCCTTCGACTGTGGGCTTTTTGGAACACGAATAGGAAACACAAGTGCTGCCATTAATATTTGTCCTCAGAATGCTGAATAATGAAGTGGAACTTGCACGATAAAAACGTTCATCTTCGCAGTACTCGAACATAACTTCTCATTTCAGGTGGGTGCCTAGCATCAGGGCTCTGCCAGGTTGGAAGGTACGTGGTATTCTGTCTTCAGCAAAAATGAAAGAAATGTTTGATAAAAATCAAAGCTGCACCTGTAGCCATCTGAAATTAGATCAGAGCACTTGGAAAGGGTGAGTATCTACTACGTCATTTTGCCCAGCTGGGTGGCAGAAGGCACTCCACCACCTTGTGTAGGTGTGTCACACGCCCAGTTCAGAAACCAATCAGGCATTAACTGCAGTACTTTAAGTGTAGTAGAAATCTTGGTGAAACTCTCACCAGGCAACCATTCCACCATCGACAGCAGCTATCATAAGAAGAGGTCCCCAGGGCTGCAGTCAGGCTGGAGCACTATCTGACTTGGTGGGACACAGCACACATGGACACAAACCATGGAAACACACAGCATCACCTCCCAGCCCGAAGAGACACATCAGCACCGCTGTGCCACGGCCAGCAAAATCCCAGGGACTGCTTAGCCACAGGACTGGACACAAGCTCAGACTTTACTACCATCCTAAATTGTCACCAGGTGGACAGATTTACTAAGGGACACTGAAACCTGGCCAGTCGTTCTAATCCTGCCAGCCTATTTGGCAGTCGTCCGAAGTGCACCTCTAAAGACAAGGCAGTGAATGGATTTAAATGTCATTGTGAAGCAAAATCTGCAAGGCAGCAAGGTACCAGCTCTACTTTGGATAGAAAACCACTTCAGCACTTGCTAAACCCAAGAGAAAAAAAGAATTCCTGTTTTATACAGCAGGAAGGATCTGGTTATCACAGCTCGCTTGTTACAGCTAAGTAAAAAGCAGGAACAAGTGCTTGGCTTTATGCAGAAGAGAGCATTTTGCACTTGATTGTGTCAAATGCTGAAAAGCAATCTGAGATATCAAACAGATTTCACAACCAGTTTTGAAGATGCGATGAGGTTCTTCTGCTATCAATTGTATACACTTTAGATAAGGTGCTTCTTCAGGGAGCTTCTTATATTCCTCTTGCACAAAGCACGTGTGAGAGCAGCCACCAAACACCCTCATCTCTACCAAACGCTTCCCTCGCTCTCTCCAGGCACACATGCAGCAGATTCCTCTTCAATCCCCTGGATAACCGCTCTGCAAACCATTCCCCAGCTCCCTCTGATACCCACCGAGCAAAATCTCTAGAAACCCATTCAGCAAAACGCCCTTTAGGTTTCCCCAGGAAATCCATGTAGCAAGCCCCCTTATCGGTCCAGCACATCCACGCAGCAATGCGCTCCGCGCCAGATCACCGGGAAATCCATGCAGCAAAGCCCTGTGACCGCACCGAACAGCACCGAGCCAACCCTTCCCGAGCCGCCGGGACAGCTGAGCAGAGCGCTCCTTACCTACCGCGGACATGCCGGCAGCAGCCTCTCTGTGCTCCCGGGACACGCGTGCAGCCACCCCCCGAGGTGCCCGGGTTATCCACCCGCCAGAAGCCCCTCGGCCACACCGGGCACGCCGCACTCCCAGCTCCGCGGGGAGCCCGTGCTCGAACCCTTCCCGCCGACAGCCCCGGCTCCGCCAGCGGCTGCCCCGACCCCGGTTCCGAGGGCGGCGTGCAGGACCCGTTGAGACGGCGCGGCGGAGGGCGCGGTGGGGCCGCGCTGACCTGCGGTGCCCGCCGCGGGAAGCTCCGGGACGCGGACGAGGACCGGGGGGCGCTTTCCCGTGTGGTCTCCGGGGGCGGCCTCACCTTCTTGCTGTCGGCGGCGGCGAAGCCCCTGCTCTCGCCGCTCACCGAGGACGAGCGGGCCGGGCCGAGGTGCTCCTGTTGCGGGGACATCACGTCCATACAGCCCCGCGCCGCCGCGCTCCCGCCGCGGGGACACCCGCGCCGCCGCCCGCACCATGGACAGGGCGCGCCGCGCCGCGCCACGCCCCCCGCGCGCGGGACACGCCCCTGAGGGACACGCCCTCTGAGGCCACGCCCCCTCCGCCTCGCCGGGCCCGCTCCGTGCAGGGGGGTCCCGCAGCGGGAGGGCGGCGGCGCGCATGCGCGGCCTCCGCGGGGCGCGGGGGGCCGGGGGTGGCGGTGGGCGGCGGTGCGCGCGCTCGCGTCCCGCGCCTGCGCGCCCTGCGGGGTCGGGGGCGCGCGGGGACGGCGGGGAGCTGGGAACTGCGGGAGCACGGGGATTGGGACTGGTGTGACACGGGCAGGGTGTCGCAGGGTCCCAGAAGTGTCGCGGGTGTTGTGGGGACAGAGCGCTGTGGTGGGTGGCGCAGGCTCAGAGCCGCGCGGCTGCTGTGGGGCGCCGGCAGTGCGGCGGGTGTTGCGCTGTGCCCACAGAAGTGTCCCCCGAATGTCCCTGCAGCAGCCAGCTCCGCGCCATCGCCAGAGCCCTCCCGCCGGAGGGTGCCCGTCTGAGGGGCGAGCAGTGGGCTGGGTGCAGGGGTGGCGGTCCCTGGTGCGGGGCAGAAGCGCGTGGGGGAGGCCGAGGGGATGCCATCGTGCTCCGGAAAGCCGTGAGCAATACGGAGGAGGAACCACTAGTTCCACTAATGGATGGTGCTGGCTCAAGAACAAATGGTTGTAAGTAGGCTATAAATAAATCTCAGCTGGAGAAGGGAAGAAAGCGTTCTGATCCCAAGAGGAGGAGGATCCCTGCCAGCCAGGAGCAGAAGGTGTAGCACTCCGAATGGTGGTGGTTTGTTACAGCTGTCATGCTGGTACATTATTGTATACCTTCTTTTAACGTGGTGTCTTCAACAGCGGGGAGCTACTCCTGATCACCCAGGAGGTTCTTTCTAACCCTTCCTACACTTTCTGGGGGATATTTTTATCTCCAGCCTTTCTAGCTGTTACAGACTCTACATGCATTTTCTCCCACGTTGATCACAAAAGAAAAAGCAGAGAGGCCCTACCATCTCGTGTGCAGCTTTTCAAAACTACCACTTTCCTTCCGCAAGATGAGTTTTTACATCCCTGTGGTGAATTGGATTGGGAACAGATTCAGCTTTAACAAGATTCCTTTACAGCTGGAGAGCCCAAGCTGGTTCTCCTCCTGGAAGCACAAATGGATGTGCTGCTTCTGCAGCTTGGTGGTGGTGGCTCTTGCCATATATGACTAAAATAGTAGTAAATTATGAATTTGGTTCCGTGTTATGTAGCTACCCTGGATGCATTATTTAGGCTCAGCATGTCCATGTAATAGTTCTTCAGTGATCTCTTTGTTGAGATTGATGTGGGCATCTGCCCTCTCCTTGCACCCTCTTTTTTGTGAGTCAGTGGAATCATGTAAGTAAGGAAAGATTAAATATTTAAGTCTGGAATGCAGTGTGAGTTCTGCCTCCTCAGAAGCACTGGGGTTTTGTGGATCTGACCTGACTTTTTCTCCCTACTGTATGACTGATCAATAAAAAGAAAATCATAGATACCTGTGACCACCAGGCAACAGCTCTTGGATGACACTGTCTGATTTCAGAAAGCCCAGCAGGCTGCCCCTGATATCTTTGGGAAAGCAGTGGATTCGTAGGGCAGTGTGTGTGCTAATGTGTCATGAGCTGCACCATTTCCTCTTCGTTGCATGTGTAAGGTCTTTCAGCTGAAGTGTAAAAACCTTGAAATGATGCATTCTTGCTCTCTGTACTAATTTACAGACAGATGGCCATTCATCACTGAGGCAAAGTAGTATATAAAAAAGCCTTCTGAATTTTTAAAGCATGAGTCTCTGAAAACCATGATGTCAGCTGATTCCTGCACCTCTGGGCCTTGGCGCAGGCCAGGCCAGGCCAGCTGTGAGCGCCATCCCCACGCAGTGCAGACCTTGTGCCGGTGCTCTCACGGCTTCTCCCGCCCTTCCCCTCCCACCTTTGGTCACATCCCTGCTTCTCCTCCTTCATCCTCGTCCACCGTGCCAGTCCTGTGAGGGGTTGGCAGCAAGGGGGACACAAGCAGGGTCAGAGGTTTCCCCTGGCACAGCACCCAGCTCTACAACATGGGGACAAGCGCCCAACCCAGCAGGATGCTGTCCCCAGGCAGTTCTTTGAGTTTCTGTGGGAGAAAACACACTTTTTTTCTAAGAAAAGATTTATCAGGGTAGAAAGGAAACAGTACAAAATGCCTATTCAAAGCATGGAATATATTTAGCAATTTGGCAACCTCCTTTCCAAAAACATTTGCAAGTGATATTCTCGGTGACAATTTGGAAACAGGGCTGTACGTATCTGTTTATTTGAAAAGGAAATGTTGCATAAGCTTGCCGAAATGCCTGCACGTGCACAAAGGTGTTCTTTTATCAACTACCATGTGGGCATTTCCTACCCTCTTCATTGAATACCGACTCTTTCACCTACTCACAGAGGCAAATAGATCAAAATCTTGCTGTTTTGTGACCAAGATGGGGAAGCTTTCTTCTCTTCAAAGCACAAATATGTTTGCATATGCCAACATGTTTTTGTTAGCTCCAGTTCTTCTGTGGATCCAATGTTTCCATACCTTTCCTTAACCTCCGCTGCCAGAAAAAAGTGGACAGGAGGTTTGGTGCAGGAGGTGTGAACTGACAGGAGTCACTGGGAGGGAGTAGGGTTTTACAAGCCTCCCTTCCCCTTGCTGGAGCAGAAATGACCAGGAGGAAGCATGCAGAGTACAGGAGCAATCTGCAGGCAGCCTGGAGCACCTTGGCTGGTTTGACACGAGCAGCAAGCGGGTCTCGTGCCTCACCGTGATTAATCTCGAAGGGTAAAAATAAATGAACCTGCTAAGAACTGCCAAAAATGGGAAACAGGAAAAATAGGCTTTCCCAAAAGACTGTTCAGACTTTAACCAACAGTTTCTTTCTGGCAGATCAGGACTTTGTTGGTTTTCATTTGGATTTTGAGAGAACTTTGAAAACTGGGGGTGTGATCAAGGCTGGGGACAGGATGCAATTGCCGCAATTGCAGCCTGAACAGAATTGCCTCTGCCTGATGGTTAACCTGCCACAGATTCCCAGTGGGAAAATCACCCAGCTCTCCCTCAGTGTTTGTCCAAGGATGAAGAAAGTCCCACATGGGCTGGTGTGAGACCAGGCATGAGGACAGGGCCGTTGCTGCCTAAGCCACCCCAGGCCCTGCCACCCCACAGCACAAAGCAGGCACACTGTGACATTGCCCAGGCTGTGGGGCACCTACTGGGTACTGCTTCTCATGCTATCAAGGTTTTAACATCAGCCTGGGTATTTCTGGCCTGTATTGGTCTGAACAATGAAAAGACAAGGTGTATAATTGCATCAAATCAGCCTTAAATTGCACCATTATCACCACCAGCTAAAATCCTGCTTGAGCCCTACCCCCCTCAAAAAAGACATAGAAGGCTCAGAAAATAACATGCATGTTCATAAAAAGATTTTCTTTCTGTTGCCTTGACCACAGTGTGGTGTGAAGAAAAATACCAGAGAGACGGAGAGAATTGGGACAGAGAAATATATGGGTGTTGTAGGAAAATCACGTTTGTACAGAAGACAGGAGAATTATTCATGGGCAAACTCATCCAGGTGGAAATATGACCCCTGTAAATCTGCCACATCAGAGAAACCCACAGTGAACTGTTAGCAAATGCAAGATGCACAGGCTGCTGCTACCTCTGGGTTTTATGAGCTTTCCAAGCACATTAGCACTAGCAGACATTCCCTTCCAAGAAAATTATTATATCTGAGGAACTGTGTGAGGCTATAAATGAATGAACAATACTTAACCTGCACTAAAAACCCATGGTTCTATCAAATCTGCCCCAAAAGGGCACAGTTGCCTGAACACTAATTTTATGAACCACACCAGTGCCCCATGCAATTAAAGACATGAAGTTGATCTGAATTGGAAACTCCAGGGGCAGTTGTATTTCAATGAGATCTGATGCAATGACTTTCTGTTTTAATATCCCAGTACCTAGAATCTTATGCTGCTCGTGAATTGTGAACAGCTATAAATAGGACCATATCCTGGACAGATTGGAGCTACTCTGATGGAGAAAAGCTGAGCTGAAATGAAAACTTGGACAAGAAGACAGGATGAATGGAATGGATGCTGGAACTCAGCACAGGAGCTTTTAGAGGCAGGTATTTGCCCTACAGTGCAAATCCTTCGTTGTTCATCTTCATGGTGTTTACTGCTGCTCCTTTCCCAAAAAGTTGTGGTAAGCTGAGCGCATCCTCTGTGCTCTGGTCTCAAAGGGTTTGGGTAGAAGGTGGCCCAGGTACCAAGTCCTGCTCTTCTGTTTTGATAGCAAACTGCTAATAAAACTGCTAAATGCTATGTGAGTAGCTGCTAAGTGGAATTCATGAACGTCCTGGGATTCAGGCCACAGCAGTTATTAATGTTTTGTGCAGATAGTATCACGTTAACAGGAAGCACCCCATTCTGTCCCTTCCCAAGCAGTAAAGTTTACGGGGCCTTTTGTGCCAGATGCTCTGCCTCAAGGCTCCTTAAGGGCTGGGAAACACCTCACTTGGGCTGTTCTGCCAAAGCTTGTCAAATGAACAGAGACCTACCCTCTCTCTCTACCCCAGAAGTAGAGGTGATCCTACGTGAATGTGGAGTCCAAGTTTGCAGCACGTGGCGTGTGTCCAGCAGCAGGGACCAGTGTGAAGCTGAATGGGGAGCCCAGCTGACAACTCAGCTGTAGGAGCAGGCACAGCGCAGTACAGGGAGAGTCTGAACACTGGGTGCTCCACGTGGAATCACCACTGTGGCCATCTAGGGCCATCTTCCCATGGCTACACCTAGTGCCCAGATACCAGGGAAGACTTTTATGTCCCAGCCCTATGGATGAACCAGCCAATGATTCTACCAATTCTTAATATTCCCTTCAGCCTTATGCTCTGTGAAATTCAGTCCAGCACATCAAAGGGAAGTTTGCCTTTGA